GAGAAAGGGGGAGCCGATCACAATGATCTACATATAGCCCCTTCCTAGGGGGACGGACAACAGAAAAGTGGGTGAAGGGAGACATCGATCAGTGTAAGACATGAAAAAATAATAATAAATTATCAAGGGTTCATGAGCGAGGGAGGGTAGGGAAGGGAGCGGGGAAATGAGGTGCTGATATCAAGGGGTCAAATAGAAAATGTTTTTGAAAATGATGGCAACAAATGTACAAATGTTTTTGACACAACAGGTGTATGTATGGATTGTGGTAAGAGCTGTATGAACCCCCAATAAAATGATTTTTTAAAAAAAGAAAGATCCAGCAGTTTGATTGAACCTACCCAGTGGTTCTGTTATCCTAACATAGACTTTGGTGCTTATCAGGAGAAGCCAGTCCCTGGAAAAGGACATCATACTTGGTAAAGTAGAAGGGGGTCCGTGAAAAAGTGGAAGCTGCTAAACGCCATGGACTTACACCAGTCCATGGGGTCAAACCCAACAACCCATGTGAAGGTGGCACAGGTTGACCAGGGCTTCCTTCTGTTGTGCTATGGGTCGGAACTGGCTCAACTGACTCAACGGGGACAATGGCGGTGCTGTAGAGCGCTCAGTCCCCACTACGATTACAAACACATCTCAGAGATGATGCTAGTTTGATCCCAGACCACAGCACTGTAGGGTGGGGAGGGGGAGGATAGAGAACCACAATAAGGCAAGTCAGGTGCATTTGTTTGTTTGTTTCCAGGTGCATACGACAGTTACCTTTTCACTCTCCTAGTCTGTGGAGTGTTAATAGCATGATGGAAATGTTTGAAATATTGTTGAGAATGAATGTATGTGATACAGAGACCTGAAGTGAGCTGGTGCTGTTGGGAAAACGGTGACTGTAGACTTGCTCATCACGGGGTTGCTACAGGCAGTCATCTACGTGATGGTCAACTACGTACACAGGAAGAAGCGCACCAGCCTGTGTGAGCCAAGGATTGTAAAGAATGCGATCCAAAGCCAAGGGAGGGAATGGTATCAGAACCTAAATTGAACGCCTAATCGTCTGATCTCCCTTTTGACCCACTTTTAATTTGTTCTACTTTTTTAATAGCATGAGCTTTCTTTCTATTGGCGTTTTCCTGTTTTACTTTGTTACTGTTACTGGGTTGGGTCTGTTTTGTTTGCTCTGGTTCTCTGTATGGCATCCTTATTAAAGAGACCAAGAGATAAAAGGAAAATGGCCATGCGATGGCAGAGGGAGTTGGCAGCTGCAAACCAGGGCAGCTGAGTGAGAAGACACCCCATCTTCCCTCGAGAGAAGGCAAGAGCTCGCTGACACTGCGTTTGGACCTGGGATCTCTGAAACTCTGTTCTCAGAAGCCATCCAGTCAGTGATGCCTACAGTGCAGGAGGAGCTGGCAGGGCGCACACACAACCTTATTTAGTGCCTGGTGGGCGCCATCAACCAGAATAATCCCTGCGGTGGCGGTGACCTGCAAATCAGCCGCTTGGCTCTTCTTTTAGTTGATGAACTTGAACCTGCCTGTGATGTTATCTTTTTCTACCGAAGCTCAGGACTTTATTATGATGCATGAACACACTATCCTCACTTCACACCCCCAGGGGGAAAGAGTAAGTGGAGTCTTTAGAAAGACTCATTTCATAATTTTGTAGGATTGATATATTTTCCTTGTAGGATTGGTGGTGATCCTTGGGAAAGACGGCAAGAGGCAAAGCAAATGTTCAAAAGGATTGTGGGGGAAAAAGGAGGATTTGGACAGAAGGAGCCTGTGGCATCAATTCTTTTTTTTGTTTTGCATAAATTCTTAACTACTACACTTGTAGAAAAACTCCAATATCTAAATTTTTAGCCAAAGCCTATATAGGTAAATACCTTTTTAAACACAAATGTCATTTTCTACTTAAAGAGCACATAATATTTGACAAAACAAGGGTACTTATATTTGCATTCTTTTTCTCTGTAGTAGCTACTAACTTTTAAAGAAATAGTTCCGATGCGATCTGCTCGAGAGGAC